GACTCCAGGATCATGACCTGAGCCGAAGGCAGTCGCTCAACCGACTGAGCCACCCAGGCGCCCAAGCTATAATTTGTTTTTAAAAATTTAATGTTTTATGGCCAGTATATGAACTTTCTTGGTGACTGTTTCATGTACACTAGATAGAATATGTTCTTTTTTTTTCTTAAGATTTTTTAAAGATTTTATTTATTGGGGTACTTGGGTGGCTCAGTCATTAAGCGTCTGCCTTCAGCTCAGGTCATGATCCCGGGGCCCTGGGATTGAGCCCCTCATCGGGCTCCCTGGTTGGTGGGAAGCTGCTTCTCCCTCTCCCACTCCCCCTATTTGTGTTCCCTCTCTCTGTCTCTCTCTCTGTCAAATAAATAAATAAAATCTTTAGGAAAAAAAGGTTTTATTTATTTGAGACAGTGAGAGCGAGAGCGAGAGAGTGAGCACAAGAGGGGAGGAGGGTCCGAGGGAGGGGGAGAGGCAGACCCTCTGCTGAGCAGGGAGCCTGACGTGGGGCTCGATCCCAGGACCTCGAGATCATGACCCGAGCTGAAGGCAGATGCTTAACCGACTGAGCCACCAGAAGCCATAGAATATGTTCTGTATATATTAGATCAAGTTGGTCGAGAGTGATTAGTTGTCTACATTTTAACGGACTTTCTATTCTATCAGCTAATGAGAGTGTTGACATCTGCACCTCTGTTGGTGGATTTGTCTATTTCCTCTGTCAGTTTTGTCCACTTGGAGTTCAGGTATTTTGAAGTTTTGTTATTAGGTGTGTTTAGGATTGCACTATCTTTTTGATAAATTGATTCCTCGTTTTTTTATTATGAGACGTCCATCTTTATATGTGGTATTAATGCTTATTCTGAAGTCTACTTTGTCTGATTTTCATGTAGTCACTCCAGCTTTCTTTTAATTTACTATTAACATGATTTAACATTTTCTTTTATTTTTAATCTTTTGGTGGCTTTATATTTAAAGTGAGTTTCTTTTAGGCAGCATATAATTTGGTCTTGGTTTTGCAGTTTGCCAATCTCTAGTATTTAATCTTGGGGTGTTTAAACCATTTTCTTTTAATGTAGTAATTGATATTGTAGGTTGTTTTTTGTTTGTTTGTTTTTGTGGGTTTTTGTTTTTTTTTTATATTGTAGGGTTTAAATGTACCATTTGTTATTTGTTTTCTATTTGTCCCAACAGTTCTTTCTTTCTTTGTTCCCTTTCTTGAGATTCTTTTGGATTTTAATAGTATACCTCTTTTTTTTTAATTGTAAAATTAAAGCTTGAGTTTATCAGAAGACTATGAGCATAAGCTCATAGTTCTGGCTTATGAATGCAGGTCCATTCATAATTTTTTTAGGTGACAGTTTTTTTTGAGATATAATATACACACCATACAGTTCCTTCATTTAAAATGTACAATTTACTGGTTTTTAGTATATTCATAGTTGTGTAACCATCACCACAATTATTTTGGAATATTTTATCACCACAAAAAGAAACCCTATACTATTTAGCAGTCACCCTTCTATGTCCTCCAGCCCCCACCCTGGCCCCAAAGCAGTCACTCATCTGTATTATATCTCTATTGATTTGCCTATTCTGGACATTTCATATAAATCAAATCATACAATATGTGGTCTTTTTTGACTGGATCTTTTACATCTAGCATGATGTTTTAAAGGTTCATTCATGTTATGTTGTCAGTATTTTGTTCCATTTTATGGCTAAATATATCACATTTTGTTTATCTGTTTATCAGTTCATTGACATTTGGGTTGTTTTCAGTTTGGGGCTATTAGGAAAATTGCTACTGTCAACATTAGTGTAGAGACATGTTTTCAGTTCTCTTGGTTTGCTGGGTCATTTAGTAACTGTGGTTAATCTTTTGAGGAACTGCCTGATGGTTTTCCACAGTGTTTGCTACATTTTATCTTCCCACCAGCAGTGCCTGAGAGTTCTAGTTTCTTCAAATCATGGCCAAGTTGTTACCCTTTCTTGGGAATAAAGCTGTTTCAGAGGGTGTGAAGTGGTTTATCATGTGGGTTGTTTTTTTTTTTTAAGATTGTATTTATTTATTTGAGAGAGAGAATGAGAGAGAGAGAGCATGAGAGGGGGGAGGGTCAGAGAGAGAAGCAGACTCCCTGACGAGCAGGGAGCCCGATGCGGGACTCGATCCTGGGACTCCAGGATCATGACCTGAGCCGAAGGCAGTCGCTTAACCAACTGAGCCACCCAGGCGCCCTA